CGACGAGTGGTTCACGCTTCCCACCAATTACAATGATCCAAGCACATCTCACTGGGGCAGAACCGGTTGGAATATGGTTGTTTTCGAGAACCCCGCAGATGGGGAGAGGAGGGGATGGTATTTGAACTCGACGAAGCAGACTTTGGACCTTACCTTTGTTGGGTTCTCTCAGGACTTGGGTATTGTTAGAAATCCTGAGGCGTAAAGAGGTGATGTGGAGTAGAGCCTAGAGAATAAGCGGTTGGTAGTTTTGAGATGCGGTGAAAAATCCACAAAAAAAAGATTCTGGTCCGTTTTCTTTCGCCTACATTGTGACGATACGCTCTCGACGACTACGACAGACTCCTGGGTATTACGGCGTCTGAAGTCGGCGGAGAAGTGTAGAGTCGGTACCTTTATTGTTCACGGACGATATATTCGCTTTCTACCCCTGTCGTGTCGGTTGTGTTTGTATGTCGCGCGTCTAGGAATACTACCTTTTGTTGTGTTCGATCTGATCCCCACAGATCTGACGGCGTCTCTTCAAGGCAGCTCAGTATAATCTCATAGCGCGTCGGGGTTTGGATGTTGTATAACGCACTTTCATTCAAAGTCCTCAGCATATCTGACACGAAGAGCGACATAACGTAAAGCCAAAACAATTGTAAGTATCGCCCACCGGTGGAGGCAATTCTCGAGTCGGTGCAAGATCCATTTCTTCATGTTCTACATCTACGCGACGCTGTGGTTCTATACGCATAGAATTGGCGCGTTTACCGGGCGGTTCTTGCTGTGTAGCGCCTAGAGATGTGGCGTGTCCGTGTTCTGCGGCGTCATTCTGAGACTTCGATCCTGCTGGGGCAAATGAAAATACAGGTTGGGAAACTAGTCCAAGTGGATGTGGTGGGACTAATGGATATTCTACCCGAGCATTCTGATTGATGTTGGGAGGCTCATATCCAGCGGAGAGAACGGAATCCGGACGTTGTGGAGATTGTGGATGCTCCACCTGAGTATCCCGTTCGGGATTAACAATGTTATTGAGAGTCGCAGCGCTCTCTCTCAGCGTGTTGTTCATGGTGATAAGTTCTCGTGTGATTGATTCGAGGTTGGCTGTTGTGGATTGGAGAGGCCCAGTTACGCTTTGTATCGTCTCGTGTAATGAGGATAATACAGCGATGGCTGGCGGAATTGGGTCAGGGACCTTTGGTGGGACGCCACGATTGCTAGGCTGGAAGTTCTGACTGGGAGGAACGCGTGAAGAATGGGCAGTGGAGAATTCAGTTGAACCGAATCCTCGTTCGGACGGACGGGGGTCATTATTCTCGAAGTTGGTAGGGATTGACGACTGGGGAAGGGATATGCTTTGTGTATCATCTGCATCGGATTCATCCGAGTACAAGGCGGAGTACGAGTTATTGGAATTGACGTTGAAGCTATTGCTGGAGTTGCCGCTTCTGACTATATGAACTATGTTGATATTGGAGGCGGGGACTTTAGAGCTTCCAAAGCGAATTCCAGGGCGAGGCAGTGGGCTGACACGGAGTGTGTATGGGTCTCGAAATGAGTCTCGGAGCATCCTTAGTATTGCAAAAGAAAGATAGTAGTAATAATCAATTAGACAACTAGAAAGACCGAGAGATAGTGCTTACACGCTTACCTTGTAGCCTCAATGATTTCCTTCTCCATCGCGGACAAGTCAGAAATTGAAATATCCGTGTTATTGTTTATGATTAGAAGGTCGGTGCGGCTGACGATGCTGGAGACGGCACTCCAGGCATCATTTCCTCGAAGACCGTCCTAAAAGCACCATGTTTGTTAATCGCTGACACAGCAGAAGATACATATTCATACTCACTGGGACCATTCGCAAACCATTCTGATCCAAAGACGAAATTATCCTTCGGGATCCATCGACCCGCCGTCTTATGATGTCCAACTGCACCTTGATAGCCTTCACCGGATCTCGACTCGAGATTGAGCGAGTGTTCATTGGGGAATTCAGAAGGGCGATTCTGATCCACGAGCACAGGAAGAGTTTATATACTGTTACATTCCGTCATTGATCCATTACAAATGGGTGCCACCATAGCAGGTTGTGGCTGAACTCCAAAATCTAGCCAGATTTGGAGACTGCGGCGTACTTCTGATCCAGTAACCTCATGGGGGTCACAACTTACAAGAGCTAGCATCAAGTTTCATTGGTCTCGGGAACTTGAACATGCAGTCACGAAGATGTTAGATGTGATACTGGGTGAAGAACTCTAGTAGGATAACATGGCTTTAATCAGATTAATGAAAATGACCCCGCACCTATACCTGTATGATGATCACGACCGTTCCTATAAAATTCAGCGACCACTGACTTTGCGCTGATGCCTTGTAGAGATCGAAACCTAGACGCTCGAGGCATGTATCGTGTGAGTTGAGACGCCCAAGAGACGCCCAGGTGGCGGATCGAGAGAAAATGACGGGTCATTCCCACAGAAAGCTAGAAAGAGGAGATATCGGCGAAAAGGAAGGTAGTACTTTAGGACAGACACGAGGATGTCGCGTGTACAATCTGGTAATGGTAATGGGGTTGAAGAAAGAACTAGGGACTTTCGAGGGATGCGATATTCATAATAGCATGCCCATTGGCATGAATGATGAAAGCAGAGAACCGAAAACGCCCATACAGCGCTCATGACATCTGTGATTTCGGCGATTGAACGTGGAAGCAATCGTCATAGCGGCAATGTAAAAGCGTTACATAAAGCCGCTGTCCCTGAATCTCACGTTATTGAAATGACACTGGACATTCCACACCACGAACCTTACCTGCTCCTCGTCATGCACGCACGATGCCTACCAACACATCCACACCATCTCCCCGCCTCCCTGATCATGACCGGTGTTATAATTACTAATGGTCATGATGTGATCGTGACTATGATGGCCCTGGGCGCGTCGAGAACCTCGCCAAAAAACGACTTTTTTTTCAGTTTATTTACACCGCTTACTCCTCTTCCACCGACGACAGACAAAGGCATGGGAGTAGCACCAAGAGAAAAAGAACGAGAAGCTTTACCTTTGGGGAGAAGAAAACCTGGGAGAGTGTGAGTCGTCTGAATCTTGATAGACCTCGCTGACGTCTTGCTGACGACGCCTTCTCTCTTCGCTCTTCTTCCGCCTTTCCCTTCTCTCAATATACCGACCCGACCCCATCCTGCGCCGAACTCCGCCCTCTCAAACTCCGCTGCAACTATGTGTCCCTTGAGAGCAAAATGTCTCTTGGGGATGTGCGACTATCTGGCTCACCGCTGGAAAGTATAACTGACTGGTTCTAGCCGACACGAAGAACTCCATGAAAGGATCGACGTTACACCTACATTGACCTCCTTATACGATATGGTAAAAGGGAACTGAGAGCAAGACTATGAGATTTCGTGAGAGGCATCGCCCCTGGTAAATGGAAACCTGGGAGGTGAGTGCTAGCGAGCTTGGGGCCGGATCAACGTTGCTGATCATTAACTCTATTGTCCCCTTCTTACAGCCTCTCTCCACCCTCCACACCCACCTTCACGGCGCTAATCTGTCAAGACACACACTACTTCATCCTCACTCATCCTGCGCCGATCCTCGCCCAGTTCCGTCTGTTGCGAAAAACACCAGTCTTGCAATATGTTATACGTTCCGTGGATCCGCTACCCTATGCCTCTACTGCCCTTTTACCACTCAGAAACACTTCGATCTCAATTTCGCTCGGATGACTACGGATACGCCGAGAGAGACGTAGGCCAGGTTAATCATGGTGCTCAAGATCGCGTGGTGGGTATTTCGGTGTGACTGAGACAAGCTATTAGGGTCCGGGATACCTCATCGAAATTTCAAATACCTCTTGACGCCTTTCGGAATCAGCGCACCTACCAACCAGATGAACCGAACCCCTCGAGCTTGGAGGTACCTTCCAGAGACCCTTCTGTGCTGAGGAATAATGACTGATTGTTCTCTTTAGATCATTCACTGCAAGACTTCTGCTCCCAGTGAAGATATCGCGCCTAAGGCGCAGAAAGTTATTGGTTCTTGTGGAATGGAACTATAATGACGAAGGAATGATACCCGTACGTCCGTATGTCGTCCTTTGCGTTCGCCTTCGATATACTTGTACTGCAGCCTGCGAGAACCCGGCCTCTAGACTACCTCATGCTCGAATGAACGCCTTGATCGCCTCGCGCGATGCTTCTTTGATACCACCTGATCACTTGATATCGATGGCCTATTTGGTCAACGTCACCGTGAATCCGATTGCCTGCTTTAGTCACGTCACAACTGCTTCTCCGCGACGACTCTCACTTGCGCGATAAGCGTTAAGGATCCCGAGTGCTTGCTCTTCAAGCAGCACACCTTGCTCATCCCCTCATCCCAAGCTATCGGTGATCTTACAGATAAAGATACACCATAATACCATAGGTTGGGAGCATTCTGGCTCTGGTACCTACACGATAGCACCCAGCCGAATAATAGTGTCATCCTCAACGCGGTGTGGTCCTGCATTGACGTGAAGGGGGGGAAGAAGACGCGACTCCACTCTCTTTCGGTCCGCTCTGCTCGCGAAGATACGGACCGGAAGAACAAGCGCGTTCAAGAAGAATTGGTGGTTTCTCAAGAGCGACAATTCGAACCAGAACCTTTATACTCTAGATTCGACACCAACCTGAAGCTTGCACGTTGGACCGGCAATCCAAGAGTGGCAAAGTCCAATGCCTACACGATATTAGGGCTCGAGTTCTGCTAGTGGCTTGTGCTTTCAGCATCAGATTGTCGTTTCCATAGCTTTGACTAAATACCCTTGCAAGAAGTGCCGCTTGGCCATGCAAGTAATCTCTATCTAGCTCGAAGCAGGGACGATCGATACACAAAGATACAAGCCCTCGGTGACAACCTGGAGTCATCGTTCATGAACACTATTTGATAGCTTTCTCGAAGTTGACTAATTGGGAAATATGTCGAGTAAAAAGCTCCCTTTCACACCACCGCAATGCCCCCTGGCTGGATTGAACAACCGACCTTGTCATCGGCACCATCCGACGCTACGAGTGACACGCTCTACGACTGAGCTAAGAGGGCAATACCTCCTTGATAGGCTTGTTGATTCCCGGCCCTGTGGCGCTGGCTATACATAAATAAAGGCTATCTAACACCTAACAATCCCCAACTCCTTATCGAACCCCACAAACGTAATCTCCATCGTCATATTCGAACAATCCAAATACCATCCCCTTCTCATCCCAGTTGCCTGATCATCAAAAACCACGAGTTCCCAACCGTTTCTCTGCCAATGGCATTTCGAGGAATCCGCAAAGTCCCGTGGAAGGACGAACCAGCTGTCGTTACCGTCGACGGAGTATTTGGATACGAAGCATCGGACGGTGTGGTGGTTGGAGAGGTTACGGATGTTAAAGCCTGCCATTCTAGTATTTGACTGGAGGAACAAGCGGTTAGTGACTAGTCCCCAGGAGATATGGAGGTGAAGCACTTACGATGCTTTTCAAGTCGAGACAAGAGATGTGTTTTGTTTAATCCGACGAATCGTTGGAGCTTTTTATATGCGTATGCTCGCTCAACGCAGCGCTGGATATCGATAAGGTATTGCAAGTGTTATATCCCCGATCTGACGTTCGACAAGGGGAATGAGAGCAAGAATACACGCCCATATCGAAGGAACGATAAGATCAATACATTCGCGTTCACCAGGAGAGATAAATTTGCCGTCGACCCAACTAAATTTGTATTCTACAAGGGATGTGATGATGACCACAATAAATTGCGCACTACATAAATTGACACGCCGTCGGCCATTGTAAGTTACCGATGCTTCGATTGGATCCCGTGGCCGCACAATTAAATCTCAAAAGTCAATGTCGAATACAGTTGATTCTGACATACACAATGGTGGCACAGGAACGGTGATTAGAATCAGGCCAACGGTTCACATTTGAATACCGGCAAGATACCGGCGAAGAGGGCGTGAGTAATATACGATTGGGCTAGACTCTAACGGCGAAAGTTTCACGCCGACTGAACCATCTCAAATCTAGCGAAGATTCAAAGCATGATTCCCGTCGAACCATATTGTACGACCTGTCAAAATCACAGCGCTGTTTAGTTAAATTATGTCGAGCGAAGCTAGTCACGGAATCAGGTAGAGCTGATTGTGCGTCGCGGGGTGCACTGAATTCACCACCATGAGAGCTCAGTCGACAGAGATAAGCACTAGCACTTATGGGCGACTTAGCATTGCTAATATGCACTACCTGGCAAAAGCCTCAACGCTCACAATAGCCGTCGAGAAAGTTTTAGCCACAATGTTTACACCCGGAGAATGCCAATGTATGCCGATTCACAGGGGCCACAGTTACGGGATTAATTGAAGGCGTGAAGTGTATGCTAGCATATATGCTGCTCGTATCATGTGGACCCACGTTAAGTCCTAAAATCGTGAAACGGAAAAGCAGAATGTGTCCTCACCATACTACTCCCGACCAACTATTGAGCCCGAGGGTTTCGCGTAGACATTGGAAATGTCAAGTAAGACCCGGTCAAAGTTATTCCCGAGTCTCTAGTCGAGAGACTGTTTCTTAAACCGCAATCCAATGTATCTGACATTGTGAATAGAACTAGAACGAGGTTTAGAGTAAAAAAAGACGAAAGGCAGATGATGGGAACACGGGCCATGATATTGGCTATTCACGTCAACTTGAACATCTTGACGTGCCACCGGAGTAGCAACAACACCGGTTGAATTCTATTGCATTGCAGTATCTCCTGCATACACCCCTGATACCTAAACAGCTCACAATACACATTTTTAACGTATAAAAGCCTTCGAGCTGTTGTGATTGTGAATACAAGCCTCATTCACAAACTCGACTCAACCAGGTTAGCCTTACAGTACACTCAATCATGCATCATATTCATTTTTTCGTTCCTCCTCATAGTTCCTAGTAGAAATCAACACCATGACCGGCTACCGTATCCGCAACCTATCCGGCATCCCCAACATCCAATGCTTCGTCTCTAGCTACAACGGTGGTAACGACGAATGGTACACACTCCCCACCGATTATTGTGATCCACACAAATGCCATTGGAGTCGAAGCAACTGGGAGATGGTTGTGTTTAAGAATCCAGCGAATGGAGAAAGGAGGGGGTGGTATTTAAACTCTGCGCAGCAGACTTTGGAGCTTACGTTCGTCGGATTCTCGCAAGAGTTAGGTATTGTTAGGAATGCTGCTTAGATCGGTAGTGTGTGTGTGGCGAGAGAGGGGTAACATTGTAGACATGGCTCGTATAATGGCGGAAAATCTATAAACAAAACGTATCTGTATCTGGAGCAAATTTTGGTTTTTTCGGAGACGATGTACTCCACTGTTAGGTATCCCGGCATCTTTGGCCGGCGTGGAGAATTGGTATGCATATTGGTGTTTCTTGGCTTTCTACCTCGTCGAAATTAAGGAAACAGAAGTTACGCAATGGTAGTCCATATTGAACAACGAGAACATGACAACAATTATGAGCTCCTGGTGTTTCATCATCAACATGCCGTAGTGGATCTACCAATAACATTGAGAATTCAATGTCGCCGTATATCGTGACTCTCAAGCTAAGGGACCAACTGACGGGAATATCGGCCGGAAAGCCCGCGTCAGACCTAGATGTATGCGTCAGCTCCATCGCGGAACACAAGAAAAAACCAAGATGCACATTTATTTCTGACTTATGATTGATCACAAGTGCCCACAATCGATGATTCTCCTCATTCTTGGCCATTAAGAGAACGACTAGAACGAGGATAATCATTATAAGGACCAGAATATAAATATCTTTCTTGTCAGTGACACTAACACCATCTGCTTTCGATGCCCTGGTCGAAGTTGGTCTGTCGGGTATGTGATCTGCGTTGAAAGGCGGGGGACTCAGTGACGGCTCAGATGGTGCAGCTGGTCCGGCTGGAGTCTCCGTCATGGAATTGTTCTCCGAAAGGGTTTCAGTGCCAAAAGCACGAATACCTGTAAATTCATTAAGGGAAATCCAATAGCACATGAAGCTCGCATACCAAAACGGCTTCGAAACATACGGGTCTCGCAGGTTGTCGTAGTATTGTGATGCCCGTAGTTATTCGTAGTGCTCTTGACAACGTAGTCCAGAAACGTATATATATACCCCATGTTGATCTCAGTATCACGATCACGCTGTATCGGGAGGGGAAGATTGGTGCTCGTGGTGGTATGAGCTTGATGCTCGGTGGAAGATTCATCTGCAATCGCAGACAAGTCCTCGGCACTCGGAGGTACCAAAGCCTTCTCGTTGACACTAGTGCTGCTTGACTCCGAGTCTAGTCCCAGTCAGGCAGATCAGAACATTTTTGCTCACCTGGGCGAGTCGTTAGAAGATTGACCGGTGTCATAACCCACTATGGGTTCCATAGCATTGTCTTCCAGATCTTCATAGTAGCTCGATATCAAAGATGCCATGTACTTGTTGAGGAATGCATTGATGCTCAGGCAACACCTGGGCGTTTCAGGCAGAACGGGTTTTCCGGAACGGAGTAACTTCAGTGTTTGAACACCGCCTGGATGTCATTTAATGAGACTGGTAGTCCCTTCTCCATGTATACTAGCATTCTAACATAGGAATGAATGTCTTGAGAACTGGGGGACTGTAAGTATGTCAGCGTAGATTCTGCAAACTGTGATTCAGTTATTGACATACGTCGAAGCGACTGGTAAAAGTATATAGGGTGTTAGTGAACCTCTCAACCGTCATTCCACGGTCGTATTTATCCTGCACAGTAACAAATTCTTGTATGTCTTCAAGTAGCCTGGGTAAAAAATGAGTCTTGTCTACATTTGGCCACAACTTGCACCCACTCTACCAGACCCACATACTCTAACAAAATGTCCCAGAAAATTTCGCCGTCTTTATCACCGAGTTTCGACTCCAAGCTGCGGCTGGTGCAAAGAAAGAGATAGACCACTTCGCATATTTGCTTTGAAAGGTCGTTACAGTGGTTGGCGACATTTTTCTGGAATGCGATAAACAAGGGTACCGCATGGGAATATATATTGAGGTGTACACACCTTGACTGTGTCATATATCTGTGTTGCAATAAGAGAAAGGAACGAAAGGTCCCCGGAGGGTCGCAGAGAAGTTTTGAGGTATTTGTCCAGTTCTTTAACAATGTGATCATGAAGGTCGGTCGAACTTGGGCCTAAGGAGTCGTTATGAACAAAAGGATGCTCATGCTCAGACTCAGACTCATCGGGGCTCGTTTGATCCTGACCGTGACCATGATCTGGATTTGAACCTTCGGATTGACTGACAGACACCGTTATAACGGGCTATTTGGACAAGGGGATGAGATCAAAGAGCCGTGACCGTAAATTCTAACTCTTACCTTGCAGAGCTGGCCTGAAATAAATCCACCCATAAACACACGATATGCGCAAATATGATCGGTCGAAACCCAAGCGAGGGTCAAAATTTCGTTGAGTTTACTGCGATATAGTTACTATGACATTCAATAATCAAGATGGAGTATTAGTACCTGTGTAGTAGGTCCACTCTAGATTGAGCATTTGCTCCGAATCTGTCGCCGTCCGAAGTAATGAAAGCGATGAATGCCGCCTGGCAGCAATCCCAAGCAAGGTCTTTCAATCGCGCCTATTTTGGCGAATAAACGAATTTTTTTTTTGGATCTCTCAAGTTTGTGTCACTTACATCGCGAGTACGATAAATTCTTAGGGCTAGTTTTGCGTTTTCCGAAATGTTGTCGAGATCTTTCGTGGAAATTTCCTCTAATCTCCTGATTGTGTCTGGCGAAACCCTTGCATCTTGGGAATCGTCAAGACTGCTCATATTTGGTACAGTAGTCGAGAGTGTCGTTCTTTTGCTGGCTGAGAAAATTCTGTCATAATCAATCCCATCAGTGATATTTCTTGTCTGGGTGCCGATAGAAAGATCTGCCCGCTGCGAATTGAGACAAGGTATTAGAATCTGAGGTTCGTAGTTATGGGCTGCACTACACACCTTGCGACGAACTATGTCTCTCGAAACTTTTATTTTCC